ATTCAAGATCTCAACATCCATAGATGTGTTCAGTAACAACCAGCCACATTGGTAAACATAATTTACATCAGATAATAAGATGTTATGTCTTCAAACTAAGCTACACTAACAGTATGAGCTTGACTTACGGCTACAGCTATGTCTAGGAAACAATGGCAGGTTCACACTTTTGTATATTTCTGCTCAGCCGTTTGTTGAATGGCATTGCCATATTCATGAGATGTTCTGAATACCAGACTCAACGCCATCATGTGAAGCTGCATTATTCAAACAGGGCCACGTGTCTCCAGCAGAAGAGTCATCAAACTTGTACTGCTTGAAAGACCACAGACAAGCCTCACCCCACTTGATCGTGTTGTCACTGAACAGAAGAATCACCATGTAGACATCCTAGTTGACTTGTACAACTACGTGTTGACCAGAAGATCTTCCAGTGTGATGCCAACCTGAACAGATAAGATGGTACAAATGAAGAAACAACTTAGCCTGTGTTTGACAGTGAAGTATTGCAAAAACCAAAGTATCAAAAAACTATAGTAATTTAGCTAGTACGCATGAATACCGTGGTATTGACATATCAGAGTATTTTAAAGTATTAATACATAGAAGCCGTTTGACACAGCATTGTAAAATTAGTTGTACTAGCTGCGAAATGTCTGTTTTTCTAGCGGAGCTAGCCGTTGCATGTAGCGACCGGCCAAAGAACATCCATGCACACAGCTATAGAGCAGCACATTTTTCTAGCTAGCTAGCCAGCTGGCCAGTCCTTACCATCCGCATGCATAACAGCCGAAGCTTGCATAAACTCAACTCCACTGAACAGCCATGCTCAAGGCTTGTGGTTATCAAAAAGGACACTCGGTCAGGGGGGCAGGGCATGGGAGCAAGGCGAGTTTTCTTGGAGAGCGAGGCGAGCTGCTGAGAATAGAGGGGGAGAGGATAACAGGGTGCCATGCCCGTTCTTTTCGGCTGCTCTGTTTTTTAAAAAGAGGTCCAGGGCTTTTTTTTTAATATAGAGGTAAAACCATGATTTACCAAATACTGTAGTATTAAAACCACAATTTTAAGGGAAACCAAACACCTCATTGTAAATAAAACTATGGTAATCTCAAAAACTGTAGTATTTCTCAAAACAGAAGATGTTGGATCTCTAGGGAAAATAGTAAGGGGTGCGACGCTGACCTGCACTACATGTGGCGAGGATGAAGAAGGGTTTACTCTTTGGATGGGTAGCAGAAGTGTTGCGTCGCTACAGAGCTGCTAGTTGTGCTCTGCTCTACGGACGATGCAGACGGGTTTGCAGCGAGCAGAGGAAGTCGCATTGTGCTCTGCCCCATGGATTGCAGAAGATTCCTCTCTATTACCCCCCCTCTCTCTCTTCATGTGTTCAATTCCTCCTTCTAACTCCTTTATCTACGTGCATAGATCAAACGAGGAAAGCAACGGAAAGCTGGAATAAGTGTGAGCAGGATCAAACTCTGTTAGGTGAGTAACTGAGTATTACAACCACAATTTTTATTCCATATCAATGGACTCTATGCAGGCTTGAGTATCTTTTTATTTGCATTATCTTCTTACTTAGAGTGAAACAGGTTAATGAATATCATCAATTGTTAGATCATAAATATTTTTCCATGATCTACAATGGGATGGCCTCTTTCCAAAAACTGTGACTACAATCTAACTCATTTGTTCAGAGTTCATGAAGTTTCAGATACCAGAAAGAATGTTCAATTGCATATACAGCTGGTTGGAAATCTGTAATACCTGGTGATTGGTATGTGTACATCAATAGTGTCTCTACTCCAAATTCATCAGTTTGAAAATCACAGGCGAACATGTAATGGTAGAGGCTGCATTGCTCGTGGCCTCGTTCAACAATTAATAGTAAAGCTCTGTTTCCTGCACAATGTCAAACGAGGCCGCAAAGCTGCACAGTTAGTTTCTATCTATCTATCTGCATATTTCATTTTAGGATCTTTGCGACTGAAGGATCAAAATAAGACGAGGAACATGATTGGTAGATTAGATTGAAACAACAACAGAATCATTGCAGATTGAGAGAAAAATCCAAAACAATCCTAACAAGTTCATGCACAAGTCTGTCTAGAAGAAGCATGGGTGAAAAACATCAACACAGATGGTGTGCACTGGCTATCACAAGATCTCGCGTTAAAAAGCATCTCCCTTTTTTGAGATAAAAACATCTTTTGTAATTTCCAAGTGTACAAGGTCCATCTCCCAATAGAAGAAAATAAAATAAAAGGGAGCACCTATTTAACATGGGTCTGGAAAAAATTCTAGGACGTTCGGTCACCGTCCGACGGCTAACGTGCAAGCGACACTATTCTTCTTCTTCCTCTATTACTTCTTCCTCCCGCGCACTCTCCCGGTAGGCAGGCACTGCCATGTGCCACCCAATCTCCCCTCAACCTCCACTCACTATTGTGCTTGCCACCGCCGCGGAGTGGAGCGGATCATATAAGATGTGCTTATTACCAAACATAGGAGACACTAATGTGCAGAACAAAAAACAATTAACATTAACCATAACTTCTGATGAAACAGACAACTACAAAGCGTGTTGTAACCCATTTACATGTCAGACTGGAAATGTGATGAGCTTCTAGACGTTTTTTTCTCTCAAACATGAGCTCGTAGAAGATGTTAATCCAGTGTTCATGTAAGGAGATTGATGACTAGATTAATTCACATGCTAATTTTGTGATTTTTCATTTATAGTGACCAAAAGAACTACCTCAGTTACACAAATGAACCAAGCAATTCTGGTGGCAACCAATTCTACTTGATTTTTTCTTACAGAAATGTGGTATACATTAACTTAATCTTGTGCTTACATCAACTTGAAGGTGTATCGTCCACTGAGAAAATTAGTCGGTCTGTGCAGTCCATAAATTATACTACTAATGCAAGAGAACATTGTATATCTAAAACTGTATCTGTAAAGTCCAAATGCAAGGAAATAACATAGGACCGAACACTAACCAGTGAAGGTTTTAGTGGCTAGAATACATCTTGAGGTCCACTTTTCATGAGGTAAGGGGCGCATCCATACTCAGCCACTTTCCTTGTGCTGCACCCTGTTCCATCTTTGTATCTCACCACTATATAATCAGATAAGGGGATAAATTCTTGGGAGGTCTAAAAAGGCCCAAAGCAGGCAACAGTCAGTAGCGACAGTAGCATCTCAGATTGCTGCAAAAAAAGTTGCATCTCAGGTTGAGCCTCAATCAATGCCAGCTATAGATAGCGCATATGAAGAAGTCCACATCTCCAACATGGATTGGCCATGGAGCTAAAGCAGCCAGAAGGGCTGATGAGGCAGGAGCATGTGGTGGAAGAAGGGGAAGGAAGGAACAGACCTGCGAGGTGGGACGGCAGAAAGAGTGGCGGCGACCGGCTCGCTGCTCGGGTGAAGCTTGCGGGGAGGACGCCTGCTTGAGATAGGAATCTCGCGATGTAGCGATGGAAGGCGTTCGACGGAGGAGGGTGGTCGGCAGTGGAGTGGCTCGGCGACGGGGCCGGTCGGTGCCGGTGGTGCTCCATGTCCGTTGGGTGCTCGGCGGCGCTGCTGTGGGGTGATTGGGGCGGCGTCGGCAGTGGACGGAGCGGAGGACGGTCTGCGGCGCTGGGGTAGTTGGGAGAGGCGACGAGGGCGCGGTGGGTGAGAGGCGACGGCGGCAGTGGTCGGCGGCGATGGATGGTTGGGGGCAGCGGTGGTGGTGCGGTGCTTGTGGCGGCGGTAGGTGCGGTCTGGTGTAGGGCACGGCGAGATTTGGGGGTGAATTTGGATTGGGCCGATTTGGGGGATTGGGGCGCGTCTTGTGCCAAAATTTTAGTCTCTCGCGCCTATTTTCCATCGCTAGCGCGGGCTTGGGCCCAGTACAATTTTGGACTTGCGCTAAAGACACTTCCCGGCACAAAACATGCTGTGGTTTACATGTCCCGGCAGAAAACGGCCCCTAGAATTTTACCGGCAGTCTGTGTACCCTTGTTCCACAAGTTCTACCGGCAGGTTCTGTGCCCCGAAGTATTTCTCCCGGCAGTAATAAATGTCCCGGCAAATATTTTGCCCTTGTTCACGTATTTCTCCCGGCAGTTAATTGCCCCAAATCAAAGGTTGTGGTGTAGTGGTCGTTTCCTTTGTCATCGGTATGTTACTTGTCCGAGATTCAATCGTCGGTATCTCAATACCTAGTTTAGTCTCGTTACCGGCAAGTCTCTTTACTTGTTCTGTAATACATCATCCCGCAACTTACTCATTAGTAGCAATGCTTGCAAGGCTTAAGTGATGTGCATTACCGAGAGGGCCCAGTGATACCTCTCCGACATTCGGAGTGACAAATCCTAATCTCAAAATATGCCAACCCAACAAGTACCTTTGGAGACACCTGTAGAGCACCTTTATAATCACCCAGTTACGTTGTGACGTTTGGTAGCACACAAAGTGTTTCTCCGGTAAACGGGAGTTGCATAATCTCATAGTCATAGGAACATGTATAAGTCATGAAGAAAGCAATAGCAGAATACTAAACGATCGTGTGCTAAGCTAACGGAATGGGTCATGTCAATCACATCATTCTCCTAATGATGTGACCCCGTTAATCAAATGACAACTCATGTCTATGGTTAGGAAACATAATCATCTTTGATCAACGAGCTATTCAAGTAGAGGCATACTAGTGACAATCTGTTTGTCTATGTATTCACACATGTATTATGTTTTTGATTAATACAATTCTAGCATGAATAATAAACATTTATCATGATATAAGTAAATAAATAATAACTTTATTATTGCCTCTAGGGCATATTTCCTTCAGAGAGAGCGGTTCAAGATTGCGTTGGGCACGGCCAAGGGCCTAGCCTACCTCAACCACGAGTGCCTCGAGTGGGTCATCCACTGCGACGTCAAGCCGGAGAACATCCTGCTCACTCGAGACCTCGACCCAAAGATCGCCAACTTCGGGCTGTCCAAGATGTCCGGGAGGAAAGCCGTCGGCGACGGCATGCAACTCTCCCAAATGAGGGGGACGACAGGCTACATGGCACCCGAGTGGGTGTTGGGCCTGCCGATCGACACCAAGGTCGATGTGTACAACTATGGCATCGTGCTTCTGGAGATCCTGATGGGAAGCAGGATAACAGAACAGAGGACTGTGGACGACAAGGAGCGGCTACAGATGAGCCAGATCGTGCAGGCGCTGAAGCAGGTGGTGGCGAGCGGAGACATCACGTCATTGGTGGATAGTAGGCTGAACGGGCAGTTCAACCCTCGACAGGCCATGGACGTCATCTTCAAGGCTCTTAGAGCTTGCGATGATGAGGATGAACACCCTACGTACTTGTGGTGACTTCGATCATCTTTGGATCGACTTACAACTCTGCAGCCGAGTTGGCGCCATCGCCGATAGCAGAGTCCCGATGGATCAACAAGAAGAAGAGTTGTGACACAATCAGATCAGGGCGCCGACTCGTAACAGTCCGGGAATTGCAACACGGGCGATGCAAATATAAGGTGGAAAAGATAACCTCACGCAAAAGGTACATATATACTCCGATCCAACCTGCGCTTGCCTCCAAATCGCACGTGGATGGCACACGTGGCGAGCCGGGCGAACACGATGGAGGGGCTGCCGGACGAGGTCGTGATGGAGATCCTGTTGCGTGTGCCGGACGTCCCGGACCTCTTGCGCTGCGCGGGCACGTGCAAGCGATGGCACCGCATCCTAGGCGACCCTTCGTTCCTCCTCCGCCGCTAGCCGGCCGGTGGGCGTGCGCCGCCCGTCCATGGCTTCTACCACACCTACTCTCTCTCTCTCTCTCTCTCTCTCTCTCTCTGCCCAAAGACGGCGACCTCACCAGTCTCTGTCACCATCGCCACATGCACTCGAGGATAGTTTTTTGATGTGGATGAATGAGGATATATACAAGCATCTCAACTTAGCAATAGATAAGGGTTGCGGTTTGAAATTATGGTTTTCGGATTTATGAATTAGAGTTTTGGATTTGTGACTTTGAACTTAACTAGGATTCTTCGGTCATAGCTGCCATCCCGCCATGGCACCGGCGAAAAATAGGGACTTCCAGGTAACGCCGCGGGGCTTGCGGCCCGGCCTTCTTGTGTGCCTCGTCCCAAGTGACATACCAATTCACATGTTCGACGGGCAGGTTTATGTCTCACTTAATTTTTTAGGGCTTGTGTCTCGCTTCATGTGCACCGGTAGATCGCGTCATCTGCAGGGAACCAGTAGTGGGCCGGCCCACTAACCATGTGGTCCCATTACACTGACATTGCATGCATGTATTTATTTTATTATTTTTATTTTAAAGAAATACTAAATGCATATATTATGAAAAATAATTTTGTTAATTTCCTAACAGTGTTCATCGCACATTTACAAAAATGTGAATGGGTGTAAAAAATGTTCGCTCAACATTTAGAAAATGTTTGTTCCAGTCAAAAACAATTTTGTGACATTTGCAAAAATGCACACATGTTTCAAACAAATGTACATCACATTTTATTAAAACGTTATACGATGTAAACAATGTTTGTGTAACTAAAAAAAGTTTATACCATCAAAAAATGATTACATTTATAAAAGTGTGCATGAGTTTCAAACAAAATGTTTGTGACATCTTTCAAAAAATTTGTCCAATGTAAAAAATGTTTGTATGGTTTGCAAACATGTTTTGTATCATAATAAAAACATGTTTCAATATGTATTTGAAAAAAGTGTAACACATATTCAATTTGTTTTTCAGAACAAGTATTTAAACAACATGTGTAAAAAACATTTTAGATGTATAGGAAAAATGTACAATGTGTATGACAAGAAGTAGACATCAAAACATATATTTCAAAAAATGTAAATTGTGTACTTGAAAATATTAAATGTGTATAAAATAATAGTTCTGATGATAAGAAACATGTACAGTGTGTATGAAAAATATAAACATGTGCTGAAAATAAGAAAATAAGGGAAGGAATAATAGAAGAAAACCGAAGAAAGAACAAAAAACCGAGACAAAAACAGAGAAAACCGATGGAAAGAGCAAACGAGAAAGGAAAACCAAAGAAAAACAAAGAAAACCATAGAAAAAAGGAAAAATGAAGAAAAACGAAAGAAAATAACGGAAATCGAAGAAAACCAAAGTGACAAAGTTTGGTGTTGTGAGCTGAAGTAGACAATATAACAAGCTGCCACAAAAGAGTGCATAGGTGATGTTTTAAAATTATTTTTTAATATTTTATCAACTAACTAAGCAATCAAACATTAAATAAAAAGTAACTACGCAAAATAGATAAGAAGTAAGAAATTCTCATGCAACAGCGCCAGAAATTTTGTATTTGAAATTTTTTAATCTTGTATTTGAAAAATATTAATCAAGCACTTGAATAGTGTTATAAATATTTATAGAAAAAATATTGACCATGAACTAAAAAAATGTCAAATTTGCATTGGATAAACTGTTAACGGTGTATTAGATTTTTTTTGCTGATATATACAAAAAGATAGAATGAAAAATAAAAGAAACAGAGAAAAGCAAAAAAATAAAAACCAAAAAAGAAACGAAATAAACTGTAAAAATGAAAAATAAAACCAAAGAAACAACTTAAAAAAGAACGGAAAAACTAAAAAAGCAAAGAAAAAAAGAAAAGAAGAAAAAAACAAAATACCGGGAGAAAACCGAATAAAACAGAAGAAAAATAAAGAAACCGAGCTCTTTCAAATGGTTCGCGCTCATGAACTCGATGATGGCGTATTGACAAGCAACACTACAATCAAATCCTCGCACAATTCTTTTTCTTCCCTTGCGCGCAAGTGCTAAAGTGCCAGGCTGTTACCCATAGCGCTCGACGCGAGAGATCCTTCTGTCTCGCTCAATACGAGATATACCTTCCATGCGTCTCTCGACCCAAAATAGCGTCTGGAAGAAGAATACACTACCCCAAACTAACTTTGTAGGGCTCGTTTGGTTTAGAGGAAACCAAAACTTAGGCATAAGGAGTTGTACATGATTTTGAAGATGACGCTTGTCATTTTAAGGATTTGCCTTGCCTCGTCCCTACACAAAAAAATGAGTTTTAAGTGAATGTATAGTTTCCCTGTATACATTTTCTATAAACCAAATGCATCTATAGGAAATTTTCTTCTCGAATTCCTTGTTCATATGTTTTTCGTACGAATATCCTTGAATAAGGCCTTAGTGACGGCCCAGGATATTAGTGAAGGGCCCAAGGCCTCGAATTAAGTTGATGGGCCCAACGTCAGGAAAAGGGTCAAAATCCCTAGAAAGACTCTCGGTCGTCCTTCTCCTTCATCCCAATCCCCGCGATGGACGCCGCCTCCCGTCCGGCGCCGCCGCACCCCACTTCCGGCGCTTGATCCCACGCCCGCTGCCGCCCCCACTCCTCCAGCGCCGTCTCCCTCCCCGCCGTCGTCCAGCCACTCGAGTGCGCCGCCAACATCCCCAATCGACCAGCGCCTCCCGTCAAACGCTGCCCGGTCGCCGTCCAGCCACTTCAGCGCCGCTTCCTTCCCCATCGACCGTCACCTCCTCGTCGTTCCAGGGCTAACCCTTCGACGTCCAGCAGCCCCCCTCACCGTCGAGCACTCCAGCGCCGTCTCGCTCCCCGTCGACCGGCGCAGGGCCTCCCTCGTCTGCCGGATCTGCCTCACGGCCTCGTCCTCCTGTTTCCTCCCAGTCCAGCGCCTCCAAACAACACAGAAAAGGTAGCAGCTTCCACACTTCTTCAGCGCGCACGATTAACCCGGGGATCGACTCGGGTTCTTGGTACCTCAGATCGAGACCTAATTAACCTCGGGTTGCCCACAATCGCAGGTCGCAAGTACCGCGCGCCGGCCCCCAAGGAAGATCGATGGAGACGCTGCCGGACGACGTTGTCGTGGAGATCCTGGTCCGCGTGACGGAGGTGGCAGCCCTATTCCGCTGCACCGCAACGTGCAGGCGATGGCGCCTCCTCATAGCTGACCCGTCTTTCCTCCGCCGCCGCTGGCCGGAGGGCGTGAGCCTCCAGTCCTCCCTGCTCGGCTTCTTCGCCTTGCAACAGCCCCGTCAAGAACCAACAGAAGGGAGCTCTACAATGCCGCTCTTCACCCCGGTGCCATGCTCCCCCCACCGCTTCATCGCCATCCCTGATCAGCCTCGAGGCGGCCAGGCAGTGGTGCTCGCCTCGCACCGTGGCCTTCTTGTTGTGCGCTTCGTCCCACTCGACGCCATCAGCATGTTCGAGAAAATCATGATCCTGGCTGTGTGTGATCCAATCGCCGGCACAAGCCGCCCGCTGCCTCCGTTGAAGTGCAGTAGGTCTTTCCGAATAGAAGGATGCGCCCTTCTAACTGGTGCGGATTGTCGCGTGACCAAACGGCAAGGGGCGTCGCCGTCAGTCTACTCGTCCTTCAAAGTGCTACTCATCAGTTACGACGGACGGTACAATCTCCATGTGCTCGCGTCCAATGAGTTGAGCTGGAGGACGTCTAGAAACTGGTTTGAACCTGTTGAGTATGCCGGACGTGTGGTGCCCCAGCAGATCAACATTGTCGTGTGCCGAGGCATGGCACACTGGCTCTTCAAGTACTCGTCAGACTTCTACACACTCAACGTGTGCGCTAAGACCATGCAGATGTCTATAACAAAGCTCCCTCTCACAAGGAACCCCCTCGGCTTCAAGTTTTCAAGTGCACTGCTTAATGTCACCAACGATGGAAGTCTATCGCTGCTTGGTTTATACAGGGACTGCAGCTGGCTGGAGATGTGGACACATGAAGGTGACAACAAGAGTGTAGATGGCATGGCAGACTGCTGGCACCAAACCAAGATGATTGAGCTAATACAACCCAAGGAGAGTACGGTTGGCCTGGTGCAATGCGTGTGCGTGAGCGAGATGAGCGGTAAACTGCTTGTAAAGGACAATCAAGATTGCGCGTACATTGTAGATCTCCAAACTGGGGCGATGGAGACTGTCACCGACTGGTTTTGCGGCATTGTCACGATGGCTGTCCCATTTGAGAAAGATTGGCCGACCTTCTTCATGTCTCGCTTGGCGGGTGGTAGGATCAAGCGGAATAAACTGAGAGGAGCTATATCGAAAATTGCTTCCACTTTTTGCAAACCAATAGTTGTGGCAGTTATCTTTGGGTTAATTGTTATGAGTCTGGATCATGAAGAGCTACAGGAATCTTAAGATCTGTGTGTGGCAGACTTAATGAAGATGCAAGTTAATTTATCACGTGTACCTGCGCATATTTGGGTTAATTATCTTTGGGTTAGTTGTTATGAGTCTGGATCATGAAGAGCTACGAGATTGATCATAGTGCAACGTCTA